CCTGGAATCGCTATTTAGTCCTGTCTCTCTCCCACAAGTAGGGGATAGCTTTTTCCCAGGTGGGCTACTTGGAGCTGGAGAAGGAGGAATATGGGCAACTCCGGCCTTCTTGCTTCTTTAAAAACACAACTTTTCTTACTATTATACTAAAATCAGGTACTATGGTCTCTTACCTGCTTTTTTAGCTCTTGTGAAGATTACTTCGAGTGTGAATAGACATTCCAGTTGGTGTCTCTCTGGGGTAATGTACAAGGGAGTGTGTTTACTGAGCTGCCGTGTTGTTCCATCATGTAACAGATTTTTTGAAGTTTTGATTCACATTTTTTAACTGTGTGTTTTATTTTTTTAAATTTTTATTGGAAAGGCAGATCCACAAAGAGAAGGAGAGACAGAGAGAAAGTTCTTCCATCCAGTGGCTTACTCCCCAAATAGCTGCAATGTCCAGAACTGAAGCTATCCGAAACCAGGAGCCAGGAGCTTCCTTTATGTCTTCCATGTGGGTGCAGGGTCCTAAGGCATTGGGTCATCCTATACTGCTTTCCCAGCCAACAAACAGGGAGCTGGAGGCACATAAGCTGGTGCCCATATGGAATGCTGGTGCTTGGAGATGGAAAATTAATTAGTCAGTTGAGCCAAAGCACTGGCCCCTTGATTCTCATGTTTTTAAAACATATATTTATTTTTATTTGAAAGACAGAGTTACACAGAGAGGAGAGACAGAGGGAGATCCTCCATTCACTGGTTCACTCTCCAAATGGCCAGAGCTGGGCTGCTCCAAAACCAAGAGCCAGGAGCTTCTTCAAGGTCTCCCACATGGATATAAGGGGCCAAAGGACTTGGTCTCCTCTGCTGCCCACAGCCATTAGCAGGGAGATGGATCAGAAATGGAGCTGCTGGGACTTGAACCAGCACCCATATGGGATGCTGATGTTGCAGGCAGATGCTTAGGCTACTATGCAATGGCACTGGCCCCTGATTCACATCTTGATACCCAATTTAGACACTGGTTTCAGTGTTTCTTGTTTTCTAACAGATTTTACAGTCTCATATACAACATAGAAGGGAAAAATATTGCTATAGTCTAAATGTGGCCCTCAAACTCATGTTGATATGCCACTCCCAAGTATGATGATATTAGGAGATGACGGCTTTGAGAGTTGGTTAATTCATGAAGTTGAACCCCTCTTGAATGATATTAATGCTGTTATAAAAAGGGTACATGGGAGTTTAGACACACACACTCTACCAGATGCTGTCCATGAGGAAGTAGGTTCTCACCAGATGCTGAATCTGCTGATGCGTTCATCTTGAAGTTGCTGGCCTCCAGTACTGTGGAAAATAAATTTATATTGTATTTAAGCTATACAGTTAATGATATTTTGCAATAGGTACTCTGAATGGACTAAAACAAGTGTTCCTCTTAAATACCAGAGATAACATAAGAAATTTTTTGGTACTACAAAACAGAAAAGACTCACTGTGAATTTGTAGAATAAAGATGATTAAAAATTCGTAGAATAAAGGTGACTAAGAAATAGCCAGATAATGGATTTAATTTAAGAAGCATTTTTAGTGGTTCATTTCAGTTCATGCTCATATTATGTATAAACATACATATGGTTGGATTTCTTGGCAAGGAAGACAAGTTTGTTGGTGACTCTTTAAAACAGATTCAGTTGTTATCAATATTTTATTTTATATATGAATATATATATAAAATAAAATAAAACAAATATACTGATATATTTTAGAAATAATTTCCATTGGACTGGCTCCATGGCATAGTAGGTTAAGCCTCCATCTGTGGAGCCAGCATCTCATATGGGCACTGGTTCAAGCATGGCTGCTCCACTTCCAATCCAGTTGTGTTGTTGGAACACATCCAACAGGATAAGCTGAGCCGACAGATGATGCAAGGTTTGGAACCTGTTGAGAAGAGGCTCCAGGATGAGGTGAAGGGCCCCTCGCCCAGAGTGCATGCTGTCACCAGTAAGTCCTTGGAGGTGTTTTCATGCCCTCCTTGATAAAAGGCAGACATCTGTGCTGTCTAGTCAGCTAACCAAGGACATTCCCCAATTCAATAGTGCTTTGACGAAGGCATCTTGTTAACTTTCCTTGAACTCCCTGCTTACAGACACGACCTAAGTCTGAGTTGTGTTTGAACTATTGTTTGACTAAGTATATAAGAACTAGAACCTGGAAATAAACTTTTGTCAGTAGCCCATGAGAGGTGTGTCCCCACCTTTGTTTTAGGTCGTTTTCCACTCTCCCTCTAGGGACCGGCAAGGTAAACTTACACAGTTGCTTGTTAACGTTTCAGGGAAAGCAACAAAAGATGTCCCAGATCCCTGGGCCCCTGCACCCACATGGGTAACATGGAAGAAGCTCCTGCCTGCTGGCTTGGGACTGGCTCAGCTTCAGCTTTTGCAACCATTTGGGGAGAAAATCAGAGGATAGAAGACACCTCTCTCTGAATTTCCTTCTCTCTGTAAATCTGCCTTTCAACTAAAAACAAGTATTTCTTTTTTTAAAAAAAGAAGTCATTTCTGCAACCAGAAGAGAAACATGAAAACGCGTAGTTCAGTTAACCAGAATATTCAATCTCCCAACAGTGCATTTATTTCAACTGTTTTTCCTGACATTTACATGAGACCAGGATCTTGGAAGTCAGTCCAAGTCTCTCACATGAGCAGTAGGAATTTAGTCGAGCCCTTATCCTCTGCCTTCAAGAGTCTGTATTACTAGGAACCTGAAGGCAGGAGCTAACAATGGTGTAGAACTTAGGAACTCCAGTATGGAACACAGACATGTTCATTTTCTTCTCAGCCCACCCCTTTGTGGACTTTCCGAAGACCCTTAATGATCATGGATTTCAAAATTATTTTGCACCAAAATAGGCTTGTTTTTTAAAAATACTTATTTTTTTTTATTGGAAAGTCAGATATACAGAGAGGAGAGACAGACAAGATCTTCTACCTGATGATTCACTCCCCAAGTGAACGCAACGGCCGGAGCTGAGCTGATCAGGAGCCAGGGACCTCCTCTGGGTCTCCCACGCGGGTACAAGGTCCCAAGGCTTTGGGCCATCCTTGACTGCTTTCCCAGGTCAGAAGCAGGGAGCTGGATGGGAAGCGAAGCCGCTGGGATTAGAGGTCAGGGAATAATAAATAGAGATTATCTGTCTCTTGTCTCTTATTGTAAGGGTGCACAACATTCAGTATGTACCAATAAGATGCTGTGTATCTATAACAAAAAGCAAAGAATTACTGCATAAAATTTAGAATGACATTCAAATCTGTGAAGAAGAGAGAATGCAAAATGAGCAAAGGTATATTGGTGGTTTTTAAGGTAGTGATACAGCTGTTTCTTTACCTGAGTTTATTTTTCAGTGGACTATAAATATATATTGTTTTATATTATTGTGTATATGATAGATTTTATAATAAAAAGGGTGCATTATGTTTGGAGCTTGTAAGAGAACTGACAGTGTAGTAATATGGAGGTCCAGCATACATGGTCAGAGCTTCAAGGTAGGCAGCATATTATAGTGGAAAGAGAGTCACCCAGATCTGAATTCAAACTTTAGCTGTACCACTTACCAACTGCACAACCAAGAGTAAGTTACTTAACTGCATGTGGGCCTCATGTTTCCTCATTTGAAAAGCAGGATTCACAGTTACTAACTTTGTATGTTTGTTGTACCTGGAGGCTAGATTTTTTCTTTTTCTTTTTGAAAATTTTTACATATTTGATTAGGGTGCAAAGGGTCAAGGGCTAAAGGAAAGTGGGTGGAACCATTGTTTTGACATGTTCTTTTTTTCTTCCTGTATCTGGGGGGAGGTGAAAGATAGGGGAGAAACCACACCCAGCCTCCCAACCATTCCAGGGTCCCCAATGAGGGGCAGGCTCCGAAGGTCTTGCTCAATCGGTTTTGATAGTTCAGCAGTTCTGTATTGCTGCCAATCCTGGAGACTATTTCATAGTAATTATGTGGCAAAAAGGGTGAAAAAAGCAAACAAAAATCTAAATAAAACTGAGAAACAGCAGTGAAAAGAAAAGGCTATTGATGGTAGAAAGAAAGTTGATGGGTTTAGCAGGCAATTGTTTATGACTTCTGAAAGTGTGACGTTCGGAGACAGTAAGGATGTATAATAATACAGAAAATGTTGATAGAAATGGGAGGGGTTGATAGGATGGAAAGTATACACTCTGAAGCTGATTAGTAATGAAATCAAAGAGGAAAACAATGTTAACTTGAGTATTTCAGACTTAAGGAAAACAGACTCTGCCAAGATCTGGAATGATCTGTAGATCTCTGAAACTAAATGACAATTGTACCCAGTTTGTATTATTGTGCCTGTGGGAATGGTGGTAATGCAATAAATTAAAATTGGCAACTTTACTTTTTGTATTGGCTCCATCTGTATTTTCTGTGGACCTAGAGTGCAGTTTTAATGTTAACCAGCTGTTTAAAAGATGTACCCTACCCTCTAAGCAGAAGCGGAACCAGAGGAGAGATCACAGATGTTCAAAGAGCCAGCTAACAGTGACTTGGAAACAAGATTTAGAGTACATTACTAATGATTGATGTGACAGGTTGATCTTATAGAAAAGGCAGTCCCCCTTCTATTTCATTGCTACCACTGTTTACAAAGGACTTTTAATTATTAAAATCTCAAAAGAAAGGACATTTAATGAAGTTTGAAGTTTTGTAAATCCAGAACATGGCCTGAGACTCACAGTTTTTAAGTACTGACCATGCGGTGAAGTAGTTATAACTCAGAAATGTTTACATTCTCTTTCGTCATGTTATTTCACTTAGAAAGAATAAAATATCAGAAAACATCCTCAGGGATAGACCGGATGCTATTATTTGATCTTTTATAATTTTGATTTCATTTGATCTTAAGTCATCTTGCAGTGGTTGAATCAGACAATCACTTGAAAATTGTCTTTTACATTCCACAGCTATAATATTGTGATTTCTTTGTTTAAAATAGGAGCATTTACATCCAGCTGGGCTTTGCTTAAAGATGAAACTCCTCCTGAAAGGCGAAGCACCTAATGAAGAACTCCTTAAAGGTATCATCTCTGTATGTGAAGAGCACACAATATTGAAATGTTACTTCAGATTTGTTGAATATGAAATCTTTTGTAGTATACTAACAAGAAGAGTAATTTGATCACATAGGAAAGGGAAAGTACTGCTAGCTAGGAAGGAGAAAGAATAGTAGCAAATTTAAAGGGTAATAAAAAAGCTGAATAAATAAAAATCAGTGGAAGGAATTGCAGCTGCCCAACCCTTCTCCAGTTACCTACCATCATGAAGAAAACGAACTTACTAATGGGATGAGTAATGCTTTGTCATGCTGTCCTTTTTGTAGTTACATGTATAAATATTGCTGTTTGTTTTTCATAATTCTCAAGGGACATAGAATGCACATATGATGTAAAATGAACATACACATACATATCTGTGGACCACTGGGTAAATCACTTCTCTGTGCTTCAGTTTCTTCATCTTTAAAAGAGCTATAATAGTGATAATTTCTATCTCATCATATTGTTTTAAGATGTCATGAGAAAAGTATGTTAAGAATTTAGTATTTCCCAAACACCAAGGAGATCACAGGGAATTGGAGTGCCCTCATAGGTGGAGAACTCTGAGGTCAACCATTCCCTATTGGATCTCCCACATGGGATGGAAGAAGCCCAGAACCCTCCTCACAGGGTCTAATGACATCAGAACAACAGCCAGGAGCCCTGAGCAGTCATCAGAAACAAGAATGCTCAACTTCCTTTGGGAGTCAGGAGAGGAATCTTCCCTGGTCCTTACTTAGCTCCAACTTTGGCTCCCCACCCTCTCTTGCAATGACCATCAGGGTCGCTCCAGAGGGGCCCCCCCAAAAAATTAGATAGAGAAAGACCAATAAGGAAAGCTTAGAACAGACAGGAAACAGTCAGCTTGGACTCCCATATACCTTACTAGGTAGGACACAAAGATCAGTTACTCTTCACTAAGGTATTGAAGATTTCTCTGCACACCCCTCCTAAAACTGTTTTGCTCCTGAATCATTAACATATAGCTTGTTAGAGTTACAAGCCTGTTTGGACTATCCTAAAATTCACAAAGCTCAAGAAAAATCACGCTTGAATACTATAAACTGCTAAATATAAATACAAAGAAAAAAGGAAAAAAAAAGAAAGAAAAAAGACACAAGACAGCTGAATAGTATCCTATAACTATTTTAAGGTTTATAGCAGCTGGTTATGTATAAACTGCAATTGAGATGTGAATGAAGTAGCTACAGGATGTGGTTAAGAACTTGCATTTTTCTAACACATTGATCACTCAGTACCATGTCAGTTAACTTCCTGATGTTGTAAATTTCCATGTTTTATCCTATTGTGGAATTTGTGTTGTGGCTTTTCTTTGGAGGGGATGATATTCTGCCAGCTCTGCTTTCAGACCAAGGATGGTCTCCCAATGAAACTGTTGAATTTATCCCATATGGGTGCCGCTTCTAATCCCGGCAGCCCTGCTTCCCATCCAGCTCCCTGCTTGTGGCCTGGGAAAGCAGTCAAGGATGGCCCAAAACCTTGGGACCCTGCACCCGTGTGGGAGACCTGGAAGAAGCTCCTGGCTCCTGGCTTTGGGTTGGTGCAGCTCCAGTCGTTGTGGCCACTTGGGGAGTGAAGCATCGGAAGGAAGATCTTCCTCTCTGTCTCTCTTCCTCTCTGTATATCTGACTTTGCAATAAAAATAAATCTTTTTAAAAAACTATACATTTTTTTATTGTAAAGGAGTAACACATATTCAATAAAGGCATATTTGGAAAATGACAAAAATAGCAACAGTGCTACCAAACACTAAAATATAAACTCTTTAACATCAAGTAATTTTAGGTGCCTTGTATACTGCTAGAATCCCAGCACTAAACACAGTGGCTAACACAGAGGATACAAAAATTAAATATTGGTTGAATAAATAGTTGATTCTAAAAATGGTAACTTTTAGCAATTTGATACTTTGTTTCAGTGTGTTTTATTTAGTTTATTTATCTTGATCTCCAGCATTGTGACCAATAATAAGTATAATACTGCTTTTTAATTTTTCACTTAATAATCTTTCCAATTTTAGTATATGTGCTGCTGAAGCGAGCACTTCACTTAATAATCTTAAAAACATTTTCTATTAGTATATATTCGTGTGACTCAACACTTTCAATATTTGCATTAATAGTTTATAGCTAACTCAGTGGTCATTCAGAGTGCATTTCCTTTCTATTGTTACTGTAATCATATACTGTTTTGAATAGCTTTATTCCCACATTTATTTCAAATACTTTTCAGAAATACATTTTCTGAAGTAAAGGGGAGTAATAGTGTATTGCACAGTTATTAAGTGTTAAGTGATTTGTCATGCAATTTCCCTACATTACTCATTCAATCTTCTCAATAATCCTCAGAGGTTGGTGTTAACTAAAGTGTAGAAAAATTGAATAACTTGCCTGTGGCCATATAGAAGGCAAGTAATCTCAAATTGATTTGTATGACTTATCCCCAAGCCACTATGTTTTTTTTTTTAACATTGAAGTGTAACCAAATTGCTTTTAGTAAGAATTATATTGGGTTGCTTTACCATCCATATCAAAGTACCTCTGTGAATACCTTCTCTCTAGCATGGGGTATTAGTACTTTGCAAAGAAAAGTCTTTTGGTAAACTGCCAAGTAAAACATGATATATACTATAAACATTTACTAAGTCAGTTTTAGATAGAGGGAAATTGTTGAAATTGGTTAAACTTCCCAAAAAATGAGACTAATTTTATTTCATTTTTCACTTTTTTAGTTGTCAAGGAAATACAGTGTATTGACATGCCTTTGGACATGTGTGTGAATGTTGCCAGACTGCTGATGGATCATGACAGGTACAGAAGAATTGAGTTTCCTTTCTCTAAAGACTAGTAATATTTTTCTATGGTTCCCATTAATGCATGAATTGTATATATACACTCATGGTTCCAGAGAACAATATTTGCCATTGTGTTGATTAATTTAGATGATGGAATAGTTTATTTAGTTACCTAAACAACAGTAATTTCAAGATTAAATTTTATATTAATTTTTTAATGAAATAAAATGAAGACAGAATCAGATCAGGTCTTATAAAGCAGAAGTTAGGCAAGTGATATGTCTCTAAGGACTTCGAAGTTTTTATAGGCCTCTTAGAAGCTCTCAAAATATGTTATCAAGAATTGCTGGGAAAAATATTCAAGCATTTGAAAAAGATGCTCAGTGTCATTGCCCATAAGAGAAATCCAAAACAGATTCACGATGAAGGGCAACTTCACACTCATTAGGATGACTTTAATAAAAAAAGACAGACAATAGCATGTATTGGCAAGGATGTGTGGAAATGAGTAACTTTCATGTACTGCTGGTAGGTATATTATAAGATGGCACAGCTGCTTTGGAAAGTAGCCTATTCGTTCCAGTGAGTTAAATATGGAGTCACTATATATCCCAGTAGTTTTACTTTTAGTTTTAAAACGGAGAGACATGAAAGAATTTATCCACAAAACATTTGCACACTACAATTCATTATTAGCATTATTTGTGATGGTCAAAAAGTAAAAACAACTCACTTGTTTGTCAACTTATAAATGGGATAAGCAAAATGTAGTAGATCCATATTGTGAAATATTACTTGTCAGTAAGAAGAAACAGAGTGATAACAACATTTCACAACATGGATAAACCTTGAAAAATATGCCAAGTGAAAGAAGTCAGTCAAAAAAATAACCACATAAGGCAATATTCCACTTATAGGATATGTCAAGAACAGGTAAATTTTTAGACACAAGGCAGGTAAGTGGTGGCTAGGTCTGTAAAAATTGGGAGAGAACGGACAGTAACTGCTAATGGATGTAGGTTTTTTGGAGGGGGGCATGATTAAAATGTTCTAAAGTTAAGTGCTGCTTGCACAACTCTGAGAATATACTAAAAACCTCTGAATTGTATGCTTTCAACGAACACACGGTATGGTACATGAATTAAACCCTAATAAGGTAAGGATAAAAATATAGAGATCAAGCCCTAACTTATTTCAATAAGCCTATAAACCCAGACCTCTGTATTCTTTATTCTACAAGTGGTTCTGAGAACCATTGTTCTAGCCCAGAGGGCAGCAAACATTTTCTGTAAGGGCTCAGATAGTAAGTAATTTAGCCTCTGTCACACTTACAACAACACTTACTCAAGCTGTTGTTGTAATGTGAAATTAGCCATAGATAATATATAAATGCGTGAATGTGGTTTAATCTAATACTAGTTATTTGCAAATATGGGTGCCTGGTTGAATTCGGTCACACTCTACTACCTGATAGACGAATTTGTCATAATTTCTTCAGTGAAAAGTAATTCAGTCTTTTCTGATATGCCTATAAAAATGGAGCCTGTTGTGTTTTATAACATTTGAACAGATTATTCTTCCTAATATACAGTTGATAACATTTTCTAGTAATTTCTTTTTTTTCTTCTCACTTTGTTGCTATGACTTTTTATTTTCTAGTAATTTCTAAGCTTACTCATGCTATCATAGGGTAGCTCAAGATCATTTTGACATAGTCCATGATATGGTCACATTCTGGATGTTAATTAACCCCCAGTCTGTTAGCATGGCAGCTGCAACTGAACACAACACTGCAGATGTGATCTCAACAATAGTATATACCTCTTGGTTTCTAAGAGTTGTAAACTTGTGCTATCCAAAATGGTAGCTGCTAGCCACCTGTGGCTATTTACATTTGAATTACTAATGTTTAAATCTTTCATTTTCTTGGCTTTTGGCTAAGAACAAGTATAGAAAAATTTTAAAATGTAGTCTCTCTGTCACAGTAACCACATGTGATGCCTCAGTTGCCAATTGTACTTATGGCTACCTCATTCAGTAATACAGATAGAGAGCATTTTCATTAGCACAGGAAATTTCATTAAATGGAACTGTTCTAGGTTCTAGAGTTCTTTTCAAGTAGGCAGTTATTATTGGTATCACTTTCCTGGAATATCCATCATATGATTATTTTATGGGACTTTTAAACTAGATCATTTCAGCCTGTGGACTGTATCATAAAAAATAATAATAATGGGGAAAAAAGCTAGATCATTTCAATATCATTTGTTCTTAGTGCCTGCATTCTACACCCTCTATGTATATGCATAATTGATGAAGCATCCAGTGGTCATACTTCATTAAGTTTCAGCCTGATTGTTAGAGCCTGTCTTTTTCAGTTGGTCTTATCTTTCCAAATTTTGATTCTGTCACGCAGTGTCTTAACCATTCCTCCCTGTTTGTGTCATCTGCAGATTTACTAGCCATGCCATTTATATTCACATAGATCGGAGGTCAGCACTTTTTTTTTAAAGGGCAAGATAGCATAAATATCTCAGCTTTGTAGGCCACAGTTTCCATCACCTTTAAATTTGACATTGCACTGCAAAAGTAGCCTTAGATGGAACATAAATTAATGTGTATGGCTGTGCTCTAATAAAGCTGCATTTTAAAAAGACAAACAGCTGGACAATGGGCCATCATTTTCTGATTTAATGATTGGGGCAATACTTTTGCTTGAACTGGTTCACTCCCCAAATGGCTACAATCACCAAAACCTGGCCAGCCAAAACCAGGAGTCTGACACTGTATTCAGGTCTTCCACATAGTTGGCAGAGGCCCAAGTACTTGAGCCATCTTCTGCTGCTTTCCCAGCTTCATTCTCAGGAAGCTGGATTGCAAGTGAAGCAGTAGAATTCAAACTGGCACCTGTACTGGATGGTAATATAGCAGGGTTTTTTTTTTTAAAGATTTATTTTATTTGAAAGGCAGATATGCAGGGAAAAAAAAAGGAGATGCAGATAGAAAGATCTTACATTCACTGGTTCACTCCTCAAGTGGCCACAATGGTCAGAGCTGAGCTGATCCGAAGACAGGAGCCAGGAGCCTCCTCAGGGTTTCCCATGCAGGTGCAGGGTCCCAGGCTTTGGGCCATCTCCTACTGCTTTCCTAGACCACAAGCAGAGAGCTGGATGAAAAGTGGGGCAGGTGGAACATGAACTGGCGCCTATATGGGATCCCAGTGCATACAAGGTTTGGATTTAGCCACTAGGCTGTTGCTCCAGGCACAGCATGGCAGATTTTATCTGCTACACCACAGAACTGGTTCCTTGTTTTTAATTAAAATTTGTCTTGGATACTATGTTTTGCTTTGACACATAAGTACATTGTATAATGTCCAATTAAGGACATTTGTCTGTTTTCCCAGTTTTGCAATATATCTTTATGATGAAAACATTAAAAATCCTATCATATGTTTAGTAATGCAGACACCAATGGTTGTGTCAAATGAATACCAAGTAAAAGCCTACGATGAAGTAAAATATAATAGAAATTATAGCCAGTACACAGAAAAGCTGCCTAGTAAAAAAAAAATATCAAATGAAGGATTAAAATTTCCACTGAATTTACTTCAGAAAGTAAAAAAAAAAATAATCAATTTTCTAAAATGCAGTTCTGTTGCTATATATTAAGCAAAGGGGGCATTGTTCAGGAATTAACATTTGCAAGTGGCACATTTACTAAAGACTGCTGAATGAAACACACAATGTTCTCTTTAAGTTTTAAATGCAAGTGTAACTGGGACTGCTATTGTCTGGCATGTTAAAGATATGGGAGAAAATTTACTGTACAGATTGCTTGAAGAGGATAATTTATTTGTGATATTTTCTGCTATCCAAACATAAATGATACTGCTCAGTGAAGTGTATTTGTTGGTGGTGTCAGTGAGAACGTCAATATGATAGTTTCTTTTGAAGATGTGTTTTGTATTAAAGGTAGAGCTACAAAGAGAGAGGATAGGGAGGGGAGAAGGAAAATGTGAGAGAGAGAATGTTCCATCTGCTAGTTCACGCTCTAGATGGCTGCAAAAGCCAGAGCTGACCGAAGCCTAAGCCGTCTGGCTCTCCCATGTGGGTAGCAGTGACACAAGGACTTTGACCATCATCTCTTCTGCTTCTTTACCAGGCACATTAGACATGAATCTGGGCCACAAGTGGAACAGTTGGCCAGGGACTGGACCCTCATTTCTGATGTGGAATGCCAGCATTGCAAGCAGTGGCTTTTCCCACTGCATCACAGTGCCAGCCCACTGTGAAAGAACTTTGGAGCACAGTGCCTGCAGCTTAGGTTTAGTGTAGCCTAGTCCAAGTGAGCAAGACTACAAGCAATATTTCTATAATGGTTGCTGCTAACAGAAGATACAATATGAACCTAACTCCAGTGTCAGGATTTTTGTTTTGTTTTGTTTTGTGACCTGAAGATTTTGTTTAATACTTACTACAATGTGCATTGATAGGAACAGATTCCAGCAGCTCAGACTCCTTTCCATTGGTTCTCATAAAGTAAGCTGCTCTGAAAGGAGCACAGTTGTGCTTCAATTGAACCAGGTACCTTCCTCTGTGTGTACCTTCTTTTATAGATTTTAACCATTTGTTTGTTTGTTTGAAAGAGCAACAAGTGAGCAGGAGAGAAGGGGAGAGAGAGAGAGAACACACTACCGTCTACTTATACACTCCCTCAATAACCATGTCTGGCCAGGCTGAATCCAGGAGGCAGGAAGCCACATGTATGGCAGGATGCTCACACACCTGGAACTTGGACTGGCACTATGATAATGGGTTGCTATATCACAAGCAGTGGCTTAACCTGGTTCATCACAGTGCTTGTTCCAGGCTTCCTTATTTTTCTGATCATTTTCTTCACATATTTCAGTAAGCTAATAGCTTTTAGAGTTCTTAATATGATCAACGCATAAATTAATTCTCTTGACAAGAATCTTGCTCTAAACATGCTTGTTTATAGCATTGCTGACAGCAT